GCGACATCGCCGTCGTCACAGCGACGGCAGCAGCCCTTCGGGACGAACTCGTCAACAACGGCCCCATCAGTCACCACAATACAGCCCTTCTGGACGGAGGACACCAGCCTCCGGCGATCGCGATGTTCTCCATGGCGACTCAAGCGACCCTGTCTTTGAGTCATTTCGCGACATGTCCATCAGCCGCTCGGGCGACATGTGTNGGACACCAGCCTCCGGCGATCGCGATGTTCTCCATGGCGACTCAAGCGACCCTGTCTTTGAGTCATTTCGCGACATGTCCATCAGCCGCTCGGGCGACATGTGTATAAGCCCGTCTGGCCGAACATGCTAGTAAAGCATGTATATGCATACAACTTTTTGTTGGAGTCTGTGTTGCATACTTTACGTGAGCTTCCTCTTTTACTTTGTGTACCTCGTGTACAAGATCTTTCGTTTGGGTGACTTGCACACTGAAGGGCCGTCCCCTGCCGCCTAGACTCTCCCGTTTTTCCTGAAGTGGAACGCGTGTTTTTCCTTGCGTCCGCCGTTCTTTTTTCCTTTGTTGGCGAGTAATGAGCGATCGGGCGCATGACTCTCCGTTTTTTTCTCAAGTGCATGGAACGTTCCGTCGTTGGCGAACAGTCTAAGTGTCCGGCACAACGCAACAAAGAAAAAAGACAAAGCGAGCTTGGGACTAGCACGCCGACGATATTCGTCGGCTTGCTTTTGAAACAATAAGGAAATAGAACAGGGAGGGGGTACGCAGACCCTATTCCTAACCCTAGCCCTGACCTTTCCCGGTTGCATGCTTTTCCAAACATGTGTTCTTGTAAGTCGAAAACACTGCGAAGGATACTGTGACCTTTCGGACGTTGTTACTGTCTGAACGAGGCATTTTTGCGTCATATCTGAATGATGATGCATCTGCTCCGACTGATCCCCTCCGGAGGAACAACATTCTTCTTGATTTTTACGAACTTTCGGTTCCTTTCACATTCGCCGCACGATCTTGTCGGCTTATACGTATGTACAATCGCTTTCCGCCGAGTGCTGATTCATGAATGGGTATTCGCGGGACTTACAACGACGCGTACGAACAGTCTCGTCAGACTGAGGTCACAGTCGATTTCTTGTTAGCTAATCGCACAGGGATAACCGTGCTGGTGTAAACATTGGGAGCCAACCGGATGGAACCATGAGGCGCGGATTACTGCTGCTGTATCAGCTGCAGAGCCCTTTCTTCAAGCTTCTTGAAATCTCTACCCCGGTTTGTCATTTCTGCCTTCCAACAACAAAGCCACTCTCGAAAGAACTGAGAGGACGCCATTCTTCCCACGCTGGTGAGCCGGTAGAACTCCAGTTTCTCGGCTACGAAAACGAGGTTGCGTAACTCACGATCACAGGTATTTGCCAGGTGGATGCTGGAGAGTTGGTTCTTCTGTGACCTTGACCACCGGCACGGACAAGTAGAAGCCTTGTTTCCTCCCACACCGTCTGTGCTATCCGCCGCAGAGCGGGAGCGGAGAGCTGATGATGCCATGCCCGACCCGTGCGGCCGCGCCGACGCGGGCCGACGTCGCCCAAGACCCCATGCGCGAGCCATCACGGGGGGGTTCCGAGGCGAGCCCCCGCGTGGAACGTGGGCGTGGATGGTCAAGTCTTCGTGCCAGGTTTCGTACGGCGTCACGCTCGTTTCTGGCAACAGGTTATCCTAAAGCAACATCTCCACGATAAAGGCACCCTTTTTGTCAGAAGGGGTGGTGGGTCCTCCGGAGTTCCTTCGTGCACCGTCCCGGGGGACCGTCGGATGGCCTGCCGAGGAACCCTAATCGCATCCCGGGTGCAACGTTCGCGAACTGTGTTCCGTTCCCCCCAATATCGAGAGCTTCGTTGCCATATAATTGCAATCCCGCTTTGATCGTAGGTGAGTCGTCAAATGGGACTACGTGCGGAGCGGTGATAGCCCAGCACGCCCGCGCCTTGTTATCACAGTCGTTGTCGGTGGGGGAAACCAAACAGCGCCATGGGTAACGATGGCCGACCAACCAACAAGCGATTCCATCTCCCCATCGTTCACCATAGAAACCGTCGCCCAGGTGGCTAATGTCGCGGCGGAAGGGTGCGTTGCAACCTCCCTCGACGACCCGAGCACGTCCCATCGAATCCCACTTCACTTCTCGTCATGGCCGATGGATGCAGTTTCGCGGCCCTCCCGAGATTCCATCGTTCGCTTAGTGCGAGACGGCTTCCACTCTCTGCGGGCGGCCCCGAGTCCGTTCAACGTAGACCTGATGGCGTGTTGCACGTCGGCCTAGCGATCGCCACTTCCGGCACCCACTTGCCGCTTTCTCGCACTTTGACTGTCCGGGTCCCGCCACATGGAGATGTTGGCGCACAACGTAGCCATAGCGCCTGGCACTCCGGTACAGGAGGCCTCTGGTTTCGGATTCCCGCCACAAGTTTTTATCGGCCACGTTTTCAGCACCTAGATATTTTCATGTTTTCGAGTATTGGGTGTCCGGTTGCACGGCATGCCGCGGCGAGTTCTCGGCAGGTGGCCCCGGAGTCAAGAGTACCTGGAGTGTTTCAGTGGCCTCGTTCCGACGGGCCGTTAAGAGCGCGGTGGTACCTCGCTGGGCGATGCTGGCGAATGAGGTGTGGATTTCCTTGCGTGATACAAACGTTTGAATACCGACTTGCGGTAGTAGCTGGTGTCTCCTTCCTCTCGTCCAATATTGTTCCCCCACCCGTTGTGTAACCCTTACGCCATGACGTCTGCTCGTTTCGTGCAGTCGGCTGCCTCTGGGCGGTACTTCACCCAGTTTTTGGTTCACCCTGGGCACTGCAACGTTTACCCCCTAGTCCGCGCCCGAACGGGAACGCCCGCCCCTTTGTTCCGCCCGCTACTCTTTTCTCCCCAGGATGAGACCCGCTTGAGTACGTCCTGGCACATAAGGTATGCTTCCCTGGACAACAACGCAAGCCTCGAATTGCACATGAGATCGACGTGCTGTTTAATCTATCCGACTCGGCAAACCGCATGGGCTGCAAAAAACTCGTCAACGACTCCGATATCCTCAACTGGCGCTGCCACCTCGACTCGCAAGGTAAATAAGACCTTACCGTCACGCGTCGTGCCCCAAAGTAGAGTCCACGCCGAAGGCCGGCTGTCCTCCGGGTTACTATTGCGGGCCCGTTCTGTACGGCAGGACACCTTTGTCGGAGGTCAACCCCGGCGGCAGCAGAGGCGCGTTTTGCCACTTACTGCCGCCCGCATGACGGCCACCCTGCAAAGGCATCTATCTGCGCGAAACTGCCCCGATAAGCTTAATACGTAATCTTTTCGTGTCACAGGATATCCCATTCCCTTCGGGGAACGCCGAAGACAAGATCACGAAGCTCGGCGTGCGGAAAAATGGGTGACCGAGTGGCGTCCGGCCGAGTTCCAGCAGCCCGGACGGACGTCCGTTCCAAACGCAAGGTATGATAGCGACAAGTGTATGTCGTGCGGGGTATAGTCTAAAGCGGGTTCACGCTGCTTCATCGCGATCGTTTCTGCACATACAGCGGGTAGGCAAGCCGTGAAGTTTGGAATGCTCTTACGAAGTGTCCCGAAGAAGGTCCAACGGCAGGGTTCCAGCAACTTGCGGAGATCTGTGAGAAGGTAGACTACCCGTTCCCCGGCCAGCCATCGAAGAAAAGGTATATGTTTGACTACAACGGAGCTTTTGGTAGGCAGGAGGCCTCATCCAAGTGATTGACAACGGCATCAAGAACAAAAAAAGAGACATACGCTGTTGGGTTCGTCTTGACTTCACCTGAAGAAGCTGGATGTGATCCCGCCTTGAAAGATACATTTTGTTTTTCGGGTAAGAGGGGTGCACCCTCTCTCGTCGGAAGTGACTTACTTCCTGGTGCGGGTGACCCTCGCCAAAAAGCGAATATATTCAACGGAGATCGCTTGGACACACGTTGGTTGGTGTGTGCTCTCTCTGCACGCGGCGGTGCGAATGGGTTGTTGGGGGTGTGCAGTCCTTATCTTTTTTTCAGACAGCCCCCCCGGCCCGGCTGGAAACATTCAAGGTGTCTGAATTCGGGCGGATGGACACGAGATGCAGGAGAAACATGAAACGAAACAGGCCTACCGTCGGAGTCTGTTCAGAGCAACTTGGTCGATAGGGTAGTCAAGGCAATCAGAAACGAACGAGTTTACATACACGCGTTCACGTATCGTGGCGGCGTCGAGCTGTTTCCCTGCTTAGCGATCTCTCCTCCTACTCTTACGTGCCTCCTGGGCTCTCTTTCTAGTCTATTCCCCTACCCCGCAAACGTTCTATATTCCATTTCCCATGTTGGCGGTCTCAAAGTCAATCAAAAGCACTCGTCGCTATTCCATACAAGCTGTCAATACAAGTCCCGAGTCGCTACTGTAGCCCACTCGTTGTTTGTGAGTAAGTCCATCGAAACCTTTACTGTAGCATATAAGTTGAACAAGCCCAATCTGCCCCGTCTCCAGAGGTTTGAAACGATACCAATTGCGCCGAGTTTCTCCAGGATTGGTGGAGAAGAAGTACCGTCGCCCGGTTGGTCGGCATACCCTGACGGGCGAGATGCGCGTAACGCGGCGTAATATCTGCTAACACAAACCCACGGTCCAAGCAAGATAGTGACGAAAAAGTACGTGGCCAGAGAGGAAGGGAAGTAGTCACAACCAAGGAAGGGCCACAGCGACAACAGCGGTTCGTCGATCTACACCATAAATTTCTCAAGGTCTTGGGCAAGAACTAAAGAAGAAACGATGTTTTTTTTTCCGAGTCTAGTCGCGAACCAGGGACAAAAAAAGACGACTCCAATTAGTCGTCGATAGGTTGTCAACATAAACCTCTGTGGTGTATTAGAGGCAGGTTGCCAGGAGAGAAAATGGAACAACTAAACATTCCCACCCTGGGGCGCGGCAGAACGTGCTGATTTATCACCGAAAGCACACACGCGGCACTAAAACCTGATGCATTGGGTGCGGACCCGACGGTCTTTTCTAACGGCTTTCGTCGAACAACCACTCGCAAGACGCGCTTCGAACCCAGACGGGGACAGGGGCGGGGCTCACCTAACAGCGAGGGTAGAAACTTAGAGGATGCACGGGGCGGCCCCGGAGTCGGAGCAAAGGATGCCGGCGGACTGGATGTTCGAGGTGCAGCACGAAGCGGCGCCGGAGCCGCGGGAGCTGCAACCCGATCCTCCGCAAGTGCCGCAGTCGGCTTCGCAGCAGGAAGAGCCGGACGACACTCCGGCGTCGCCGGAGCACGAGAACTCATCGGGTACCCCGTCGTCCGCGCCGTTCTCGTAGACCGACATGGCGTAGAAACCTCCGCAGATCTCGTCCGCGTCGCCGCCGCAGGGCATGTCGCAGACGCCCGCGCCGTTGGCATCGTAGTCAGCGCCTTCGGCGCCGCACCAGCACTGTTGTCCCAGGTGGTTTAGAATACAGCAGGGAAATGGTTGGAATGAACAGAATGGCGGGGGTTTCGTCGTGACGTTGATGACGCGCATGGGTTGCAGCTTGCGATGGAGTGAAATCGATGAGGGTGGGCTTGGCGGAGTTAGCGGCAACGGATGACCGGAAAAAGGGTTGCATCTTCCCGTCTCGACGACTTGATTACGATTCCGCCTTTTCGCATAGAGGAGGATACTTCAAATGGAGGACGGCGGAAGACGATATTGCAGGTGTGGTTCGAATATTGCCACGAATGCAGCACCAAGTCACGGGTAGGCGGAGTCTGTGTGCTCGGTGGCGTATGGACCCATCACCCGAGGCGTTCTTAATGCAAGCAGCGTGTTTCATCGCTGTCGCACGGATAAGCACAAGAACTGAGAATTGGTGTCCCAAGGACAGAACGACTCAGCGCTCGGCATGACGTATGACAATTTCTTGGGCAAAGGGTGCTGAAACAATCATGTGCCGTTTGGTTGTCAAGGTCTCCCGGCTAGGTGGCAAATCAATCACAAAATCATTAAAACAGCGAGTTGCCCCCCAGGAAACTTTGCCGTGCTGGCACAGCTCGACCACGCGAACGTTTCCTATTTTGCATACCGCGGCTCAAGCCGTTCCGAACCACAGCAAAAATTACGGCCGTCTCAAAACGCGCCTACAGGAACGAGCCTGTACCACATGACATGACCACAGCAGCCACCACATGTCAATAAATATCCTCCAGGGCTTCACAACATACGCTGCACGAGGTCTTACCTCAACCGAGTACTGCGTTCCGTAGTACGCCGAGCCGGCGCAGGCCGCTGAGCAGATCTGTCGTCGTCCGTTCGAGACCGTGCGCCCGATGAGGTTGATGTTCGGATAAGGGGAAGGGCACCGCGACGGGCACGTGGACGCGTGAATCGTGAGGTGAAGTTAGAGGCGTGTTGGTTCCACCAAGGTTCCGTGATCTTTGGATTCTCTACGCGATGTCCTCTTCCGTAGTATACAAAGGCAAGGAGGCCTTCTCCCGCGTTCACCAGCTCACAAAACCTAGTTGAGTGGAACAATCATAAAAGAAGCCGTGAGAAACACGAACCGAAATGCGAATGAGAGGCTCTCGTTTTACCAAATAACCCTCGAAAACATCCCGGTCAGCTGCTTACCTCCGCGGTCATTGCAGCAGAGGAGACGCCCTGCACGAACACGCGGCTGTCGGCCGGGTCGGAGTAGCACCCCAGGTAGGAGGGGTCGTCGGATTCCCCGTCGTCCGCGTCGTTCTCGTAGATCGACATGGCGTAGAAACCTCCGCAGGTCTCGCCCGCGTCGCCGCCGCAGGGCATGTCGCAGACGCCCGCGCCGTTGGCATCGTAGTCAGCGCCTTCGGCGCCGCACCAGCACTGTTTATAGAAGGCGAAGCAGTAGTGGGTGGCGTTCCCGCAAAGGAGCGGCACAATATCAGGGAGAGTCGGTGGTGTGTGGACAACGGAGGGTGTTTTCGTCGACACGTGGGAGGCGTGCACAGTGTGCTGTTACTCGATGAAGTGTAGTGGGTCGTAGGTGAGACCGCAGAGTAGATAGCGGCACCAGACCGTTAGGTGCAAACATACAGTGGAGGTGGACCTAAAAAGGGTCACATGTCCCCAGCGTCGTCGTGGGAAGATTCTCTCTCCTCGCGTAGAGGAGGTTATGAACGGGGAACATGGACGGCGGATGACTCTTGTCTGCCGCTGCTGTGCGACCGTGTCGATGACTGTATCATCACGTCGCGGGGGAACGACGTAATTGTGCTCGGTGGTGTGCATGCAACGTAAAGAGAGTTTTGAACACTAGGTCAATACGGCCCTGTTCATGGTTGTCCGACGGAGTGTTGTAGCGAAATCCTGAGACCTGTGGCCTGGAGAAGCCATCGATAGATCAACCACCGAAGGCGCCCCAAGGAACTTCAGACGGAAACAGGTCACAGCCAGGTCACGACGACTGTTGTCACTCTTGGCGATGGGTACAAACTAGGCACGACAGCTGAAGAGAATCAACGAATGACTGCCAATGTACCAGTGAGGATGAGTCTTACGTGAAATTTTCATACCCTTCTGCTGAACCAAGGCCAAAAGGTACGTCCAATTCATAGCGCGCCTACCACGGAAGACCCACAGGATCGGAACACCAAACGCTTCACACGACTCGCATTTCACGTCGCGTTGTGGGGGTCTCACCTCCGTCGAGTACTGCGTTCCGTAGTACGCCGAGCCAGCGCAGGCCTCGGAGCAGACCTATTGTCGTTTGGTCAAGGGCGTGTGTGCGCCCAACGCGGACCATAGTTCGAGGGAAAGGGGCAGTGGCAGGCACGTATACATGGAACAATACGTTTATCGCGTGTTGAATCGGTGGCGGCGTGATGAGTTCACGAATTCAAAATCTAAAATCTTCGTCACTCGCGCATTGTCGACACGGCGACATGTAGATAACAGCGATATACGAGACAGCGTCAAGTCGAGCGCATCCCGACAACAGACAACGGTAGGCAATGCTGTATGTATTGCTGTGGTAGCTTTGTATATATAGTTGTGTTCACATGAGCTACCTGATCTGACCAGTGTATCATACCTCCTATTTCCTAGTCTACAAGAGGCAAGGAAGACATATCTTCCGTGGTCACCAGCTCACCCAGCCTATCGAACACATGACGAGACGAGATTCAAAAACAATCCATTTAACCAAACAGCAGCCTTCGAAAACGCCCCGGTCGGATGCCCACCTCCGCGGTCATGGAATCAGAGGAGATTTTCTGTTCGAACACCCGGCTGTCGGCCGGGTCGGAATAGCACCCCAGGTAGGAGGGGTCGTCGGATTCCCCGCCGTCCACGTCGTGCTCGTAGATCGACATGGCGTAGAAACCTCCGCAGGTCTCGCCCGCGTCGCCGCCGCAGGGCATGTCGCAGACGCCCGCGCCGTTGGCATCGTAGTCAGCGCCTTCGGCGCCGCACCAGCACTGTAGAAGGCCAAGCAGCAGTGGGTGGCGTTCCCGCAAAGGAGCGGCACAATATCAGGGAGAGTCGGTGGTGTGTGGACAACGGAGGGTGTTTTCGTCGACACGTGGGAGGCGTGCAGTGTGCTGTTACTCGATGAAGTGTGGTGGGTCGTAGGTGAGACCGCAGAGTAGATAGCGGCACCAGACCGTGAAGTGAAAACATACAATGAGGTGGAGCTAAAAAGGGTCATATCTCCCCAGCGTCTTTGTGGGGAGATTCTCTCTTCTCGCGTAGACTAGGTTATGAGGGGGGAACATGGACGGCGGATGGCTCTTGTGTGCCGGTGCTGTGCGAACGTGTAGCCAACTGTACCGCCAAGTCGTGGGTCGTCTTGAGCGCTAGTCCAATACGGCCCTGTTCATGGTTGTCCGACGGAGTGTCGTAGCGAATTCCCAAGACGGTTTAGTCTCGGGGAGGGAACGATCGATCAACCACCGAAGGCAACCCCAGAAGCCTCGAAGTCGGAAAACCAGCTCACGGCGATTGTTTATCACGCTTGGCAATGGGTACAAACTATAGAAGTAGGCACGACGGCTGAAGAGAACATACGAACAAATTGCGTATCGGTGACCAAGGTGAGTCATACGGCGATTTTTCAAACCTTCTGCTGCACCAAGGTACAGAGAGTATTTTCCGATTCATAGCGCGAAGACGCACCCCACCGGCACATCGCATTGCACGTCACGCACCTCAGATCAAGTGGTGGGGGTCTCACCTCCGTCGAGTACTGCGTTCCGTAGTACGCCGAGCCGGCGCAGGCCTCCGAGCAGACCTATTGCCGTTTGGCCAAGGGCGTGCGTCGAACGCGGACGATTGTTCGAGGGAAAAGGGGCAGTGGCAGACACGTAGTCATGGAACAATTACGTTTATCGCGTGTTGAATCGGTTGCGGCGTGATGAGTTCACGGTTTCAATATCTTCGCCGTAACTTGCGCATTGTCGACACGGCTAGAGATACCATTACAAGAGGCAGCGTCAAGTCCCGACAGTAGACAAACGGGTGGTGGGCGTTGCTCTACGTTTTGCTGTCGCTGTCGTTCTCTTGGGTTCACATGAGCGACCCCGTCTGGCCAATATATCATACCTTCTCTTCCCTAGTATACAGAGGAAAGGGGGTCCCCTTCTGTGGTCACCAGCTCACCCAGCCTAAGCAACACACGACGAGATGCGATTCAAAGGCAATCGCTTCAACCAAACCGCAGCCTTCGAAAACGCCCCGGTTGGGTGCCCACCTCCGCGGTCATTGAAGCAGAGGAGATTTCCTGCACGAACACGCGGCTGTCGGCCGGGTCGGAGAAGCACCCGAGGAAACCCTCAGTCTCGTTGGGCACGTCGTCGCCGACGTCGCCTGAAAGAATTGCGCGGGGTGCAAGATAACGATGGCGTCATCTTTGGAACCGTCTTGCTGGAGCTTTAAAAAGACGAGCGGAACCCCGCGCAACCCACGGCAGGCAATACACGTATCAATACAACAAGCATTTTGCTGAAGAGGGTAGTGACTCAACTGCCGCTGAACGTGCAGTAGCAGTAGCGCTGACACGCAAGGTGAAGAGCCGGTGTCCCTCCCAGGAAAAAAGAAGATAATTGTTTATGGATGAGCACGGCAATTAACCGAACGGGTGAAGTATGCAGCTAGCCCGATGAGAGTGGGTTCTTTGGAGACGTTTCCTCGCATTTTTGGAGGCTTGCTTGGAGATTTCGGGTGACGAACCCTCAGACCAAAGCTTATTTTCTCTATCGTTTTCACATGACGCGTTTAGCCTCTTGTCATGCGGACGATGTGATGGACCATGTTTCGTCCCGTTCGGCGAACGTACATGCTGGGGCGTGTCGAGCGTCAATTTGATGTGGATGGATACGAATTAACGCCCACAAACCATACGGCGGTCCCGCGCAACCACCTTCTCATTTCTCACCGATGCAAGGTGCAGCGCCTGAGTCCGCGCACAGGATGCCATTCGATGCGATGTTTGAGGTACAGCAATCTGAGGCATTACGAGAGGAAGACAGNATTCATGGTTCCCGCAAAAAAAAACGGTAACCTGGTTCCCGAGCTGAAGTGATCGGCTTGTTTTACAACATCGCTGCCAAGCAACGAAAACCTAACCCCAACGGCAAACACCAAGGGGGGCAGCTTGATTTACAGCGTTGTTGCAAGCGACGAAAACCCAACCCCGATTTGGTTTTTGAAGGGGGGATGGTTACGAGCGAGAGGCGGAAGACTTACTCGTTCTTGGCGGCTATATTTACGTGCGTGCTGCAGTAGGCCCTCGTTCGGACAACGGTATGGGTGCCGAGGGCCAAACTGAAAAGTAGATCCCAACGATGACACAATGGTAAAGGAAACCTACCGTCGCCAGTCAAGCCCTCAGCTCTCGACGAGCAACCCGAACCGCCGCACGTGCCACACCCTAGAGTGCAGCAGTATTCGCCCTTGGAGACACCCGCGAGACCATTGTCGCAGGTTTGGGCGGTGGCAACGCCTGAATTGATTGACAACGGCCGTGAGTATTGTCCAAAAATGATTGTTTGCAGGCAGGGGAGTGGGAGGAAGTTAAATCAATTGCGCGTTCACAGAATAAGTATAATTGTATGCGGAAACCGTTGCCTCAACGCCGTGGCTTTTGTCGCCGACTTGTCAACGGTATATCTATCGACAGCGAGGAGTGAGTGTAGTGGCGGGGATCGGCTCTTTTCCTGCTGTATCCCAGCGAGACCCTCGCCCACGGGCTATTCGTTGTTGTGCGGCGCAGGCAACCTGCCTACATGATGTATACCGCAGGCAACCTGCCTACATGATGTCTACGCCTGCCTGACAAATGAAAGACAACACAGCACCTTCCTTCGACACCTTCCCAGCATGACAGACAGGTAGATGCCCAGGATGGTAACCAAACTCTCTTGTTGAGCCTGTTACCCACAGGGGTGATACCGCTGTGTGCTGCTTGGGAAATCGTGGAAACACAGGTATGTATACACAGCCTTGGCTGACGCTAGGATCTTTGCTACTACAATACAATCTATTTCTGTATGTAATAGGCTCTTTTCTTCGATAGAGATGTGGATTCGTTTGTCACATACCACTCACTACTCCTACTACTGTAGAAAAAAACTATGTAGACTACAAATATGCTTACAAACCACCAGACCGGGTTGGACACACCATTACCCCGAAGTTTTCTACATCGGACCACTACTACAGCTGTAACCCTTGGGCCCTTGGGTCTGGCTGCGAAGTCTGGGTCTGCCAATCCGGCTACACGGCCGGGCCTGGCAACCCCGGCCTGAATCATTTCACTGTGCTATGCCGATAGGTAGGTACAGTGGCGGCAACGGTTTTAGACAGACTATTTAAGAGAAAGTACCGATGTTTTTGTACAAACAGCACTTCAGACAGCATTATGCTGTAGTCGGCAATCTCTCAGATGGCTCTAGCACTTTCGTGACCACGGGCTGAGAGTCTTTTGCTAGATTTTGGCATTTAGCAACTGACATACCGCTTAATGTGAAGACAACAACAACAACAACCGATTGGAGAGAGAGTCAAACTGGCTTGTCGCGACCATGAGAAAAACACACAACACACACAGATACATGTAGTGTTCCAGGAAGGAAATACTTTTTCTTTTGTAATGAGCCGCGGAGCGAGCGAAGCGAGCGACATTTTTTCCCTTCGTTCCCAGGAGGGCAAAAAAAGGCTCTATATATCGGCCAAACAAAGTTGCGCTGCGCGAAACAGGGGCCCCAAAACTTGGTTACGGGGAAAAGCCTATTTAGCACACCTTTGGGACCAGAACGAGAGAGATCCATAGGGCACCGATCGACGATCTGTTCGCTTCTGAGGAAGAAGAAAAATAGCGCGCTCTTCTCCACACCGGTTTCGTCATGCTCCGAGAGCAGATAGCCGTCCTTTACCGGCATATATATGTAGCCTATATTCGTAGGAGATTTTACTCCCCAACCCCGGGGTTTCTACGCGACAACGCGTGCACAACAGCGGAGATCGCGCGCGCGCGGGATTCAATCTAGGACGAGATCGCGCGCTCGCGGGATTCAATCTAGGACGAGATCGCGCGCTCGCGGGATTCAATCTAGGACGAGATCGCGCGCTCGCGGGATTCAATCTAGGACGAGATCGCGCGCTCGCGGGATTCAATCTATTATAGGACGAGAAACACCGATATAGACGCAAGAACACCAACAAACGCATCATCACCGCTGAGACGCTGGTCTGAGACCAGCTATGAAAACCAGGAGGAGAAAGGCCTATACGACTTGTGTACCGTGGGTATACTGTTGGCATGCGCCACGTGTAACCTGGCTGGTGTGTGTTGATGGTGAGCATGCATAGGTCCTCCAACCAACTGTTTCAAAAAGAGCCGACCGTCGATCACAATTGAACACACAAATAACGCACCTTTCCACAAGTCCAGATCACAACTACCGTCATCGAGAGAATCCGTCGAGGGCGTGAGGGTCTACTATTGCTACTGCTGTGCATTATTAGGATGGTTCCCCGCTGGATCGGTTCAGATTGCGTACTTGCGCCGCGCTACTGACTGTCTTCGCAAAGAAAGCCGTGCCCTGCATGCTATGTTGCTGCTGCAGGGCTGCAGCAGAGCCTCTGGGCCTCTGGCATCAAAGTCATGACGTCACATGACCACCAAACGGTTTTTTGTTGTTTTTGGTTCATGCTGGACTGCTGCTTGCTGTCACTTGGGCGGGAAACTCGGAAGGCTTGAGACGAAAGTGGCGGGCAATTTGTGAGCCTGACGCAATATTTGCCATCTGTCGTGTCACAATACTATGTCTAGGCTGCTTTGTCGTGCTCCTCGACGGTGTGATTTGTGATACGCTCGCCGCCAGGAGAATGCCGCATGGTAGTCTATATGCTTCTTCTTGTGTGTTCGCACAGCCGGAAGACGGCACATTTTGTTTCTTCGTGCATGTGCATCAAAACGGAAAGAAACAACCGCATGCAGTGCAAAACTTTGAATAGTTGTTGTTGTTGTTGTTGTCTTCACATTAAAAACCATCCCGGTCTCTCTATCCAGTACCTCCTTCTGTCTCAATCTCTCCGTACTAATCCATCACTTGACTCGGCCAATTTCCGTGGTCACAGGCTAACGTACCTAGAAAAGGTATACCAAAATAAAATGGACCCCAAGGGTCAGCAGAGCGATAAAATACAAGAAAACAAAATATAATCAGGAACAAATAAAATAAAATAAAATAAATAATTAGACTAGTGGAACGGCCGCACCACCAGCCTGGGGGGTGGCCGCACATATACATGCAAGCAGCGTCGCTCCCGTCGCACGCCTGCTGTCCCTCTGTGGTGCACGCGTAGCTGCACCACAAACGATTCACGCTGGTGTGTGTCGGGATTCGTGCACCATGAGGATCGCACACAAGACCACTGCAAGGTATTGAGTCGCACCACGCGGCTCATTATCCCCGATACCTAGACTAGTGTACCATATGCGCTCTGCATATTTATCCCGCCGAGCTCATGAAGAGTTTAGAATACCTAACCGCCAAACATCACGTCATCTATACTGCTACATACATCCAGAATCTGGCCGTGAAGATGATACTAGATGGAGAAGTAGTAGAACCAATACAAAGTGAGCACAACATACCTCAAGAACGACTGCAAAAAAATAAATAAAACCGAAAAATAAAAATTTCTGGCTACTACACAGACAAAGATAGTTAGATGGTCCTTGTTTCTCTTTCCCTCTTCCTCCTCTTATCTCTGTCTCTGACTCTCACCAATAACCACCCCCAGGCAAAGCATCGGTAGCACGAGCGAAGTTAGGTGCATCTTGGCCTTGATGGTGAAGATCAAGCGTTCTGTCGTCAGGGGAGAAACCGCGGGCATTGCAATTTATTTTTATTGTTGTTGCATGTTGCAAGTAACAGATGACGCAGTATTTTTGGGCGAGCTGTTACTATTTATACAAAGGAAGGGGAGGTCGCTACTACAGCAGTGCAACTTGTTCCAACTGCAAAATCACCTGGTATAACCTTGATCGACCCAAAAAGAACACTCGTCTTCCTCCAGCCTGTGACCGCAGCCCTAACATTTAGACTAGTCCTCCATCGACACGACCGAATGATGAGCGCACGGAGCGCCAACTAACGGCGAAGGAAACAATGAACTTACCTCGGGACGTTGGGAAGCTCCAAGGCTTGTGCTGGTGCTCAGGTGTTGAGAGTGTTAGACCGGATGGGGTTGTTGGCGAGAGGTATGTGTGACTGCCTGTGCGTGTGTTTCAGGTGTGTGTGAGAGGGCAAAGTTCCTTACAACGAGCCTCGGGATGAATATTGTTATTATTCCGCGAAATGTTTTTTGGGGTCGTCTCTTGAACCTTCGGATTTGCCACAAAATACGGTCCCCCGGCACAATCTAATCATTTTCTGGTTTATACAATGGATGAAATCTGTACTCCGTCGTCTACGCGCGTGTGTGAGCAGTAGTGTTCAAGTAGATTTATGTATTTGTGTTGTAGGCGGAAAGGGTAGGACAGCGCATGATGAACGGATTAATAACGGGTCAATTGGGCCGCCGTTGTTCGTTCTGGATATGTTGCCGCCACCAACCCATGTACAAACACTGAAAATGATGGAAAAACTCGGTTTCATCCTTGGTTGTCGACATCACCCCGAGGACCGAAGTCCGCTGGCTCTTCGGGAATTTTGTCTTTTGGTCTGTTGTAAGTACATGACCCGAGGGAGGGCCTAATCACACGAAAGGGTCTGCGAACATGAAATTCCGGTTTAATCTTGGACTTTCTCCCCCCGAAGACCAAGTCCGCTGGATCCTTACGAATTTGGTATTTCGGTCTATGTACATAGTCTACATACCTAGCGGGAGAGCCCACCCGTCTCACACATCAGGGTCTGCGAAGGTCAAAACTCGGTTTCATCTTCCGTTTCATCTTGTTTCATCTCGGTCTTTTCTATCACCCCGAGGACCGAAGTCCGCTGCATCTTTGGAATTTGGTCTTCGTATTATTGTTACTCGTTGGCACAGCAGCACCTCGCAACACACACACGCTCTCTGTTGTGATGATGGTTGAGCGTGTTGAACGACAAGCAGTCACACAAAGTCCGTTCGGACAAGCTCGTTCGGAGGATAAAAAGCCCATGCGTGCTGCACGCTACTACGACTACTGCAGTACTACTGCTGCGGCTGCGGATACTGGATTCCTGGACGTGTTCACCTGAAGGAAAAAGCCAAGACAACCTGCGAGCAGGACTTGGCTCCCTCGTGACTTCCTAGTGGCTTGCTAGGTTCGGACGAGGGCATGTGTGGAGCTATGGCAGTGTATGTATTGCTGTTTTGTTTGATTCATCTAATAGCTGCTGACACGATGACTGTTGGATCTTGGGAGTTGTTGTTGTTNCGCTCTTTGCATCAGTGGCTTCCTAGGTTCGGGCGAGGGCATGTGTGGAAGTATGGCCGTGTATTCGTTGCTGTTTTGTTTGAATGATCTAGCTGCTGACACGATGACTGTTGGATCTTGGGAGTGTACGATAATCAAATTGGGAGATGCAGCATTCCACGATATCCTGGCTTCGGCTGGGCTTGAAATAACCCTTTTGCTGTCCTCCGCTCTTTGCATCAGTGGCTTCCTAGGTTCGGACGAGGGCATGTGTGGAGCTATGGCCGTGTATGTGTTGCTATTTTGTTTGAGTAATCTAGCTGCTGACACGATGACTGTTGGATCTTGGGAGTGTACGATTATCAAATTGGGAGATGCAGCATACCACGATATCCTGGCTTCGGCTGGGCTTGAAATAACCCTTTTGCTGTCCTCCGCTCTTTGCATCAGTGGCTTCCTAGGTTCGAGCGAGGGCATTTGTGTAGCTGAGATGTGTGTCTACGTGAAAGAACATGTGGAGAGAGTCGTATTGGTATTCGCATCAAGCGCATTGCGCATGTTTCGAATTTTGGCCCCCTTCCAGGAACCTTGATTTTTACCCGCTGGCACTGACGTCTTTTAATTGGTCAGCCGGTTAGCGCGGTCGATGCTAATCATAAAAACACACACACAAGGCCTGTCCTCCATCGGCCGTTTTGCTTGTATGACGGAGAATAAGAAGGTGGAATNGAGGAATCTGGCTACACACCAAAAACGTCAGCATGAAGGTCGAGGAAAGGAGCTCCTACTCAATTTGTCTCCTCCTGGATCCTTGCGCTCGAGCAGCCAAGCACCTACCTGGTTACGCCGCATGTGGCACATGCGGCGACCTTTTCTCTCCACGCACTACATCGTCTCCATCTCTCTCTGGGTCGTTGCAGCCACCGCAAGAGGATGACGACGATAGGTGGCAACTCCTATTACCATGGGACCTCAACGACGTCAGCAGTGCCCTGGATCACGTTCGACATGATACTACTCTTGAAACGTCAATTTTTTCGACAGTCAAACACGTCGATCCGCAACTGGCGAAAGTATTTTGCAAACACTTCCAACATGTC